TGTAGACTAATTTTTTATCAGATTTGACAGGTTATCGGTTTTGAGAGGATCGATTTAGGGAGGTTCAACAGTATATAGCAATCATAACAGATTGTATATCTCTAGTTTGAAGTTTTACTTCAGTATTAATTATCTCTCTTTGACTAGGCTTTTTAACTTGGGTTACACCTTTATACTATAGACTTGGGCACCATGAAGTGTCATCATGCTTGTAAACAAATATATAGTTGCAAACACTATGATTAGTCTGAATTAGAAAGGGTAAACATTGCCAATCTTTTGATGGGAGTAAGCTGTTTTGACCACTTTTTTCAAAAATTTTGTTGTCAGAAAAAGTGAATAATAGTACACTGTAGTTTTTATTTAATAAATATTTAAAATTTTTAACCAAAAATATCTCTATTCCTACCTAATCAAATTCGATAAACTTTTTTTTTGATTTCTACAGTTAAAATAAAAAAAAGTTCATCGAATTTAGTCAGGTGTGAGTTGAGATATCTTTAATAGCAATTTTTAACATGGCTTCTATATACTGTATTTAATAAATGTTTAAAACTTATAAAAACTTTGATCGAAGATATCTTGACACTCATCTGATCAAATTCGATGAACTTATTTTTTTTAAATTCTACAGATTTATACAATTAATATAAAAAAAAGTCTTTGATTAAAGTTAAAAGTTGTAAAAAATTAAACGATCGCCAAGAGTAGCAAAAAAGAAGTGTAAAAAAAAAAAATCGAAATTTACACATTTGATAATTGCTTTTAATCGTGTGTGCCATCAAGGAAATAGTTTTAATTATATTTTGTGCCGGTCAAAATCTTTATCAAATCAGATAGATTGAGCCCGGTAAGAATATGCTTGAAAATGTTTTGTTGATTTAATTGTGAAAGCAAAGAAAGCTTATTTTGAACTGTTTGACAACCATTTATATAACCACTACCACGAATATAACCAATCAAATGTTAATAACGATGATATAAAGACTAGTCATTTATGCGAACAATACTTTTAATAAGGATATCCATAATCGCACAAAACTAAAAATCGACAAGAAAGAACCTTTTGATTTCCATATTCAGTAATTGGTACAAATAGTTCTAATGTGGCTGCGGTGCATCAAAATATGTTAATTAATAACCTTTTTAAAAGCTTGTGTTTTTTAAAGAAAATTTATATATATGTACATTGTTTTCCATTTCGTTCCTTTAATATCTCATATTTTTCGAGGAAGAAATAGCGTTTGTTCACCATGATCGTCGCTGTTCCAAAAGGTATTTCGTTTATTATTCAATGATTCTTCCACCTTTTGCTAACCAATCTCTTCTTTGATGCCTAGACTTGGATTTCTTACATATAATTTACTGTCTTCGTCCACTCATTCAAATGACGATTGTTTTTCTAGTCTTCATCTATATCTCCTGGTATTTAAGTGAGTACTAAAATTTCATTATCGTGCACAATCAAGTACATATATATGATACATTTCTAATTTACAGTATTATTTCAGAATTTACAATTGAAATGATAATGGGCCAAGTAATATCTTCAACCATCCAACCAGCACTGAATACGCGAAGAGCAAGAAACGTTCGTCAACGTCAATCCGTAAATGTCATTGATCACTGTCTGGAACTGCTTCGATATGAACATATCATTCGAATTGGGGATATGGTTCAAATATTTGAGATGCCAATCAGAGCGCTATAACGATAACAAAGAAGCTGGACTTTTTTGTATATTCATTAACCAAAAGCCCAATATTCACGTGACACCCTCCT